GAGATTTGAGCAGAAAGGCTTTCAGCTTTTCACTGTAGAGTATTATGCTGGCCATAGGTTTGCTATAAATAGCTTTTACTATGTTGAAATATGTTCCCTCTGTACCCACTTTGGCAGGACCATGGGCCCAGTGCAGTCAGGTTGCTGGGAGGATGGTAGCAGCAGTGGCAGCAGCGGCTGGAGGAGGGGGGCTGCCCCTTTTGAACCAGTCATTTGCTCCCATCTCCCCTGTGCCCTGACCTGGGGGTGGCCTCTGCTGCCTCAAGTTCGCTGTAGGCAGGTCCCCAGGTCAGCAAGCTCCCAGGAGGTGGGCATGGTGCATTCAGGGAGGAGGGGGCAGCTGAGGGAGGGTGCCTGCCTTGGAGGAGCTGGCCTCTTTGCTCCAGTCTCCCTTGTGGCCTGGCTTGGGGGTGGCCTCTGCTGCCCCAGGTGGCAGGACCACGTGTCCCAGTCTGCCTGCTCCTGGGAGGTGGCGGAGTGCGGTGGAGGTGGGAGGCAGGGTGCAGGGGCCACCTGACCGCTACCAGCTGACCACATCTCACCAGCCTCCAGTAAGCAAACTGGGAGATGTGTGTCCCGCCACTGGGGGCAGCAAAGGCTGCCCGCAAGCCAGGTGTTGGGGGATGGGAGCCTGGGGCAAATGCACCTGCTCAGTAGGGCAGCCCGCCTCCCCCTGCCATTAGCTCTATATTCTTGCTTGATTTAAACATCTTGTCAATCTAGTGTATGTGTAATGATACATCATTTCATTATATTTTAAATTCACATATCCTTAATTACTAATGAGATTGGTAGCCTTGTTATATTTGTTGGCCATTTAAATTTCCTTTCTGTGATGTGCTGATTCAAGTCTCCTGCCCATTTTTCTGGTGGAATGTCTCTTGTCCTCATTGATCTGTAGGAGTTCTTTATGTAACTGGATGTTAAGTCTTTCTGTCAGTGATACCTGTTGCAAATATCTTCTCTGTGGCTTTTTTCTATGGTTCTTTTTAATAAAAGCTTTTTTTCCCCCAAGTAGTCAAAATAATTGTTTTGTTTCCATGTCAAAGGAGAAGTCCTCCTTTATTATCTAGAAGTTTTTTTTTTCATCTTTAATTCTTAGATCCATCTGAAAGCAGCTTTTGTATATAGTTTGAGGAGGAGGTCCATCTAATTTTTGGAAATAATGGATGCCTGGTTCTCCCAGCAGCAGTTGTGTTGAAAGATTGCCTTTCCCCATGCTCAGCAGTGCGACCTTACCATGAGTATATCAAGGGTCTACATGCTCGGTCAGTTTTTCTGGGCCCTGTTATATTTGATCTTCGTCTCTACATCAGTACCACACTGTCCTAAATATTGTTGCTTTATTGTAAGTCGTGATATCTTTAGGAGAGTATTGGCTATTCTTCACCTTTGATACTTCCAAACACATTTTGGAATCAACTTGTCAAGTTCACCCCAAAAACTGTTTTAACCTGACAATTCTGTTAGGGATTGCATTGAATGTGTCATTCAATTTCAGTTTCAATTGACATCTTTACATTGTGAGTCTCCTATTCAGTGACCACTTAGCATAACCCTTTATTCAGTTATCTTTCTATAAAGTTTCATAATTTTCTCTGTAAAGATTTTTCATCTCTAGATTGTTAGATTTACTGTCACAACTTTATATTTTTTAGCACAATAGTGCTATTGTTAATATTTAATAAATGTTATTTCTAATATGTGTGGTATTTACTATAAATTTTATTATGGAAGTCTTCTATTTCTAGTATGCTAACTTTTTCTCAAGAGTAAATTTTATTACCTTTTTCTCGCTTATATTTTTGTTGTAAATTTTATGTGTTGAACTCTGGGTAACTGTAACTTGATCTTTTTTATACATTTTGGATTTTGTTTTTATTTAGGATGTTTGTATCTGTT